CAGCCTCACTGCTCAATCCTCAGCCATTTAGGAGTTAAATCCCTTTGTTTATGAACCCTAGTCACACCTCCCTGCATGTGACTTGCACAGCCTTCCATAAACACTTCCTATAAAGAGAGCCCTATTTAGGCTTTCTTTATTGTAAGTTCTGTTTAATTAAGATTTTCTTATCCCCTGCTATGTTAATAGCTTGCTAGCCCCTACAAGAGCCTCCTGTGTGTGATTACAGTTTAATTTAGAGATTGAGATACAATTATTTAAGGTAAATTACATCTGTTTGAAAGTGAAACCAGTTTTTTTTTCATGCAGGCTCTGTCAATCATAGCCAGGGGAGGTGTGGCTAGGGCTGCATAAACAGAAACAAAGTGATTTAACTCTTAAATGACAATGAATTGAGCAGTGAAATTGCAGGGGAATGATCTATACACTAAAACTGCTTTATTAAGCTAAAGTAATTTAGGTGACTATAGTGTTCCTTTAATTTGTGAATAAAATCAACATTAAATGACTTTTAGCCATAGCCTTTTTTCCCTTTCACCTGAATTACAAACCGAAACGGATATGCTCGGCCATGGCACGTTTTGGCTGTTTCATGATTAAAGTTTGTCTCAGAGTTTGGAATTTAGACCAAACACCCCATCGGCAAATTGCATTTCAGACCGAAATGGATCTTCAAGTCAAATATATAATGCACATGTGCACATTAAGAAAGTATGAAATAATGGATGAACAAACATGTAGATAAATAGATAAAAAATATGAATGCACATAATCTTGTAAAAGTACTCAGTCACTAAGGAGTTAATAGATATTGCTTTAAAGTATATCCTTCAAATGAACAGGAATAATGGAATCTAAATATTTAAATGAACAAGAATAATATTACCTAACAATATAATAGTTTTAATAGTCCATTAAATGTATCGACATGTATGCCTGTAATTCTGTTTGTAATTAATGTGCTCAATGCATGGGAATTATTGATATTTAGTTTATAATTGGAGCATATGTTATATTCATTAATCACCCTAATTAACTAAGGCAATGAAAAATGGAGGGGTGGAGTTTAATACAATATAGCACACATATCGATATGTACTTGTATTTCCACCATTAAATAGTTTGTCGTAGGACTAAAGGGCAGCCCTGTCTGGTTGTATTAAAGAAATATTAAACCACTTGGATGAAACACGTGTAGGAACAGCCTATTCAAAACAACAGATATAATCTTATGGAGAGTTTATTCCATTAGTGTGGACCTGGCAACGTTTTGACCACAAATTGAGTTTTTGTCAAGCCACAAAAAGGATATGGAAAGGAAAAATAAATTAGCCTTTGTATACTAGCTTTAGCATGAACAGACATTGTGGTATTTCAATGGGCCCAGTCAAATTATAGGTTTCTAGAACTTTTTTTTCCAGAAAATTTAAGCTGAACATGCTGAATTATTTTTCTGCATATAATGCTAGTGCTAAAATCAGGAATCTCTGAACTGTTGAGGCACGTAGAAATTAATTAATCTAGTGCTTTTTTCAGCAGGTCTAGAGTTCATACAATACAATCTATAAATACACTGAACAAGTGTGAAATATTTTCTTTGATTCTCATTTCCAGAATAAAAGAATTAATTTTTTGTTCATCTTTAGAAATTGATCTGTAATTTGAAAAAAAGTATGTCTTGGTTTTAAAATTGGCCCAATTTTACAAAGTGCTAAATTATCTTAAAAGAAAGAATAATATAGGTTTGAGAATAAGACTCATCGGTGATATTTTTCGTTTTAATGCTATAACGACTTTATTAGGCTTGGCTAAGTTTCCTAACACCAGTTCTACAGCTATTACATTATCTTTTACATTTTATACAGTTTTATATTTTATTTTCTTGTTTTTATAATTTGCATGATGACTTTTTAAATAAATATACTTGAAAATTAGACAACGCTCAATATATTTTTCTTGCTCAAACACTTTTTGAATAATTATAAATAGTTCTGCATCATCTGTAAGAACTTTTCAACAAGCCCTACTACTTCCCATTCATATAAACAGATCAAGTAATAATTTAGACAAGCTTTTGATAACAAACTGGCTTCTCTTCATTCAAGATGATCCAGTTGAGCTGAACTCTGCTGGAGGAAGTCTCACACCTTGTCAGACTTTCTCCATTACTAATTCATTTTAGCTCATTCAGCAGAGCTGTCATCTTTACTAAGCAATCATATATTGCCTTTCTCTTTAGTACATACTGCCACAATCTCATGCATCTCTTTGATACTTTTTAACTCTATTCTCCTTGCTGTGGCCATCCTCCATACAACCATACTAACCTTACAGCTGATAACTTTGCATGCTATTTTACTGACAACATTAATCAGTTAAGGGAGGAATTATCCCCCCTTCGCTCCTCTTTCTCAACCACACTTTGACTGTTCATCTTCAACCCTTCAGGCCTTCTCCTCGGGTTTTGAACAGGCAATATTAGCCCTTCTCCGATTGATTCCATTCCATCTCAGCTTATCAAATCTCTACCACCTTGTCTAGTGCTAGTGCCATCCTTAACATATCTTCAATTAGTCTCTTTCTTTTGACATAATCTGTGTTCTCCTTAAACATACTACAGCCATTTCCATCCTAGAAAAGCAATATCTTATCCCATTTTCCCATTCTGACTACCATCACATATCTCTATTCCCTTTCTCCTGAAAGTATCCAGAACATGTATTTACCTGTCTGACATGCGCTCTTAACTATAACTCCCTCCTTGACCCTCTTCAATCTGGCTTTCGTACCCTCCATTCCGGTGAGACAATTTTGACTAAAATAACTAATGAACTAATTGCATCTAAATCCATACTAATTCCTCTACACCTTTCTGCTGCCTTTGACACTGTAAATCATTGCTCTCCTTTACACCAGTGGTCTACGTGGCACTGTCTTTTCATGGTTCTCATCCTATCACTTCTAATGTTCAATTAGTGTGTCCTTCTCTATTAACACCTACTCCTCTCATCCTTTCTCAGTTGGAGTCCCCAAGGCTCTATTTTCTCATTATACTGCCTCTCTGGTGTCAGGGTCTTACCTGATGTGGAGTCCGATATACAGAGATATACGCTCACCCTTGGAAATAAACACAGACCAAGGTGACCAAACAACACGCCACCTGGCCTGTGAGTCTGTGCATGGGGGCTGTGCAGGGATATACTCCAAGTCGCAGTACAGGCATGGACAAGCAGAAGAGTAGTCGTGGAAAACCGAAGTCAGGGGAAGCCAGAGGTCAGAGAAATCAAAGAAACAAGCCAAGGTCGGAAGCTCGGAATCAGTCTGAAGAACACTGGATCAAGACACGAAACAACAGGAACCAAACAGCAGAACCAGAGTCAATGAACTTACACTGCCCTCAGGGATAGGCAGTGTCTTATACCTGGCTAATTGGGCATCAGCTTCAGGTGGACTGAGATTGACAGGTGCAACCACGGGTAAAGTCCAGCCTCCAGTGCTGGAGACAAGGCAAGGATAGACATTAGGCAGAAACAAGAACTGAAGTGTGGTCCAGAGGCAAGACAGCAGGACTAAGGCAAAGATGGGCCACAATTCAAATCCCCTGTTGGGCACTTCTGAGGCAACCACATCTCAATGTCAAGGTGTGAACCGTGACATCTGCAAATGTATTAATTCCTTTGGATTTTCCTACCACCTGTATGCCGATGACACCCATATATATCTCTCCCCTGTTGTTCTAGAATGTGTCACCATTTGCCTCTCTTCCATCTCTGATTGGTTGTCCTTCCGCTTTCAGAAACTCAGTCATTCTAAAACGAACGTCTTATCTTCCCTCCTCATAATAACAATCCTCTTCTTTCACTCTTCATGCAAGTTGATAATATGTGCATTAACACGTCCTTGCAAGCTCATTGACTTGGTGTGAACTTTGATTATGACCTCACCTTTACACCTCACATGCAGTCTGTTGCCAATCCTGCCAGTTCCACCTTTATAACATTGCCCGCATTCATCCCTTTCGTATGTAAGATGGTACTAAGAAGCTTGTTTATGCTTTTGTAAGTTCTCAAAATTGATTTCCAGAAATTTTTCTGCCTCACTACAGTCTATAGTAAAGGGTGCAGCCAGGCTAATTTTTCCCTACAATCACACATTTCCCACTTTACCCTCCTGCCATTCTTTACATTGGCTTCCTGTACACTATAGAATTAAATTACTAATATTAACTCTTACCTGTAAAGCTCTTAACAACTCTAACCTCTGCTCCATTGACCTTCTCCTTTCTGCCGTCCTTACCCATAATATTTACTCGTATTTGCAGGACTTATAGTGGTTCCTATGGAACAGCCTGTCTTCTCCCATCAGACCCTCCTCTAGTCTTCAAGCATTTACAAAGTCCCTCAAAATCCATCTCTTCAAAATTGCCTATGGCTTCCCAAAGTAACTGATATTTTGCAAACCATACTCTCAGGGCGGGCCTTAGGGGTGTGCGAGCTGTGCGCCTGAAAATCAATAACATTTCCTGTTATTTGTCATTTTGCTTAAAATTAATTTGGCAAAAGCTGGAGGGACTGCACTCACATGTTCCTTTACCCTAGCCAGTACAATAATCAGTAGTGGAGAAGGTGTTTGCAGTGTCCCTTCAAATACTTGTATAAAATAATGTGAATTATAAATTTCAGGCATTGCCTGATGTTATGAATATCCATAATTTATTAATTTATAATTTATTGATTGCACCTAAGGAAGACGTATTTTAGCGTCGAAACGCGTTGTGCTTCTTGTTGGCATCCCAGAATTCTAATTGTAAGATTTTATATACTTTTTAAATAAATTATACTATTGTTATACTTCTAACTGGTGTTTGCCTATCCTGTTCCTCCTATATATTGAGGACTAAGCTTCATCCTTTTGGAATTCACCTCAGAACGTTTCTTAAAGTGATACTACCTGAGCCAGTTCTTCTGCTAACAGGCTCCACCATATGTGAGTTGGACTATATAGACTACTATATTAGATCTAATCACCATTGCAGTATTATGCTATGATTCTTCTGTTTTTTATGTACAGGGTTTATACCTACTGACATCTATTATATTGGGGTATTTATCCTTATTTTTATTTTGATTTACACATTCACCTAAGGTGGAAGCATCACTGATATATATCTTTGTGAATCTATTATATGTGCTGCACACTTCTTTGTATTGTTGTGTTTTGGTTTCTGTGGGATTTTTGTGATTAAACCCCACTAGTGTGCTCTAGCAGCTGTTCTCTAGCGCCACAAACTGTACCTCTTCCTTTGGTTTTGCCATAATTTATTAAGCAGGATTTCTAATTTAATATATTTTGATGACGTAGGCATTCAAAGTACAAACGTATGTCTGAGTACACTGATTTGACAATGATCGATGATGTTCTGGATAAAACGGAATTAAACTGGGATACAAAAGTTCTTTTCATTATGGTTTTTAAAATAGTTTATTCTGCTGACACGGACAATATTTATCAAGCTGTTAGAATGCCTTTTGGTCTGTTTATACAATAACTAATGCTGATGCTATGTGCTCTTTTGATATCAATCACCCTAGGGGAAAATCATTAAATGCTTTGAATTGCATGTTGTGCGTTAGCAGGGCATGCAGCGTCTATATTGTTTAAAGCGACTGTCATTTTTATGTTTAGCATAGTTTAAATGTTTACTGAAATCTGACCTTATTTATTTGTTGTTTGTTGTTTTTTTCTCTTCAAAATGTATCAATTTTTTTAAGATATTGTAGTGTAAATGTAGGCACTGTTTGATCTGTACTGTTTTATGACTGATTTTCTTTTCTTTTACAATTACACTCTCTGTTTAATTGAGTAATTGACTGTAAATTGATTTATTTTCTGTGGAACCTGATTGACAGCTAAAGGTCACTCTGATGTCTGCCAATAGTTAAGTTATCTAGAGTGAGTTGTTAGAATATTAAAGAAGGCTTGAACTGTAGGAAAGGTTTCACTTTTTGGCTAAGCCTTTCTGATTTTTTTCAGGAAAAAGGATCTTTATCTTATCCTAAAAGATATATTTAGAGCAGACATAGATTTCGATTTTCATGCATCATGAAAAGCAGGTTAACCTGATTAATCTCAAGGACCATTATGGAGAATAACTGATTGAATGTCCAGGATAACAGTTACTATGCAAGGTTCCCTCTATGAGATGAAAACGTACAAACATATCCAGCACGTCCACAGATATCAGTGCTCTTTTTTTTTTAAAGGCACACTTTAGTGTTTTTTGTTTTTTTTATCGTTTTACAAAAAAAGGATGGATTTCAATGAATTAATCTTGCTATACCCACCTGACTGTCAATCAGACAGCTGATGCTGTTACTTCCTGGTTGGTTTGTCTCAGTGGAGCCAAACTCAAAAGGCAGGCAATTGCTCAGAGCCCCAGCTTTGCAAAGACATTGCCTTGAGTTGCATTGAGAAGTCTGTGATTGGACAGTCACAGAAAGTCTGGGCGGGGTTAGAAGGGGAGGGCTTGCAAAGACTTTAGACAAAAGATCTGCAGCTTTTACAAGCTGTTTTAAGATACAACCCCAATGGAAAAAAAAATGCATACAAGTTTTCATTGGAGGTGTATTAACTAAACAGTGATTTCTAATTTGTTTTAATTTGAGCAGTCCCTTTAAGTGCCACAAGTGGGAAACAGCAATGTTTTGGCAACAACATGGCTTTATGCCAATCTATGAAATGGACCTCGGAGTTTGAAACATTTGGGTATTCTTACATTCTGCCTGCTTTTCGTTACCTTGATTTTTCTTGTTTTTCATATTTAAATTACTACTTTAAGCTTGTGTAAATGGAAAATGTCATGCTGCACATAGGTATTCTTTACTCTAAATGCATGCTAATATGTGTTTGGTACTATACCACATACTACACAAAGTTCATAAGTATGTATATTGTGAGCTATGGATACTTTGGGCTCATTAACAATCTTGTTGCTACTTTATAGTGATCAGACACTTATAGTGGCTGACGGTGTTCGTTATTTTTATGGCAGTCGCTAACAACTACTTAGTGACTGTTTTAAAGAGGTTAACAGCAGCTAAATCCATATGCCTTCTGTTGAAAGAAAAAGTCTCCTTCCAACCATGTTGCTACGATTTACCAACCAGATGCTTGTCGCCTATCACTGCCCGCCATACACGGCAAAATACAGGTGGTTCTTTTTTTCCCCTGTGCTTTACCAGCAAGCCGCTAATATCCAAATATGCATTTTATTGATATGCTATGCAAATGTATCAACAAGTCTGTTGGTAATTTGTAGCCACTAAAAGCTACTAGTTGTTGTTGATAGTTTATGGCAGCTATTTATTTTTTATTATTGTATTATTACCAACATATTCTGCAGAGTTTTACAGTTAGAAAAAGGGGTAAGGGAAAGCACTGCTCCAATGAGCTTACAATCTATGGTAAAATGGGCAGTGCTACTATTTAGAATCTGGCTTTAATCAATTAAATCGAAAGAGGACATTTTTTTACACCCTTGTGGTCAATGATCCTTCCAGCAAGTATGGGCAGCTACAGATCACCTAAGTGCCTCATTCTCCTGAGACGTGGTTTTGCTCAAATTTGGTTGGTTAGTTGGTTGGTTGGTTAATAGATCATTGCAACCAACTTTGCTCATAAAATAATGAATGGGATAGTGAATAGGCCGGTAGCAAATTCAATAATATTATTATTTATTTATATAGCGCCAGCAAATTCTGTAGCACTGTACAGTGTGATTGCTGTTATTAGTTTATTCCAGAGTAGATCTATGACTGATGGCTGAAATACTTATCCCATAAACTCTAGCTGGATATGAGTTTACCGTAAAGGGATGCCACTATAAACCACACTGAGGTTCCACTGATTTATGGAGTCTTTTCCTGGTCTCCGAGGGGTCTGTCTGCTAATTCTGTTTGCATGATATTAGTAAGACCTTTGTATATTTTCTAAAAATATATTTTTGTGCATATTTTAAAGCTTGACAAAGAATTAAGGACTGCACCCATGACATCACCATAATTCAAGCAATAAGTTACAGTGGTTGTAGTCATTGCATGGTCCTTTAGTCATTGCAGGGTCCTTTAAAGACTAGATTTTGCAGACAAATATTACTTTTTTTTTTTTTTACTGTTCAGTAATTTTCTGTTTCCCATTCGAATGTGTTTCATTAGCTAAACCAGTGTTATCATAATCCTTGTCACACACAGCAGTTGTACAGTTGCCAGTATTCATTATTATAATCCGGGAACACAGCTTGAGCTGATAAAATGTATCAGATACATTTTGCTATCTTCTGATATTTTGGAGCACAGCAAAAGTATTTAAAAAAAAAAACTCAAAGCCTTTACAAATGGGTTGACATATACAAAGTCTGAACTATCGACATTGTTGATAAGCACAACATAGAATTTCACATACGGATAAACCAGATGTAGTTATTCCAATGCCTACATGATATTTTCAGAGAGGGCTATTAATCCAACCCTCCGAGGATGTATAAAACTGATAACGCTGAACTAGCTTCTCGGCTGCAATGTGCAAGACTGCATAAATATAAGCAAATATATCACATTTTAAGAATTGCAAATATATTTGTCATTTACAAATCACACTATATGTTTCTGTCTATCTATCTATCTATCTACCATCCATCCATCTAACCCTCTCTCTGTCTGTTAGTCAATCTGTCTGTCTATCCATCTATCTATGATACTGCTTGATGAAATAACTTTAACTGGTTTGAATTGAATGTAGGAAATTTATTATAAATAGAAACATCAGTTATTAGTAATAGAGTAAAAGAAATAGTCAGTTATCCAGAAACACATATATACGTGGGATACACTGTTAATCCTGTCTGTTAGTGTCTGCTAAATTTACTCATGATATATAGGATGAATAATATTGCCGCTACAAAAGCCCTTCTCACCATCATGTCCATTTTAATATGACAGTCGTCTACTTCTTCTTCTGCTCGCAGCATTTATGTTTTAAAATCTCAGCCAATCTCATAAACAAGCCAGGAGCTTTGTTTTTAGGTAACAGCTCTGTGAGAGTATGTCTCATCTTTGTCAAACAGATTTTATCTCATCTATGCTGCTTTACTCCACTCGATTTTCCTCTAGGAAGCCCTGCGCAATCCTCTAAACATGTCATTCGATGTGTTCCACATATCTTATAAGTGTAAATAATAATAACAACAATATTACAGCAATCCCATAGTTGCCCTAGTTGATCTTTCTTCACTGGATTCTTTGTAATGGTACTTGGGGGCATACAGATCCTCACCATGTGCATCTTATCTCTTGGCTCTTATTCGTGTGGCTATAAGCAGACACCATGGAGGTGAACCCAGGACATACTTGAAAATGAAATAAATCTCAATGTATCTTTCCTGGTAAAATATTTTGTAAATAAATAAATGCATTTATTTTTGCTGGCCCTGTCTCCTATGACTCCTCTAACCCAGGATTTTGAGTAGCTGCCATGTGGCTTTGCATTATGAGAACATTTCTCCTGCAGTATTTTCTTATGTCTGTGGTAGATTTGTGGTTCTTATTAGTATCATTGCCCTGTTTTTTAAAAGTTTAACCACCTACCTAAAGATTCTTGCCTGTCAGGTACACCCCTTCATGGCAAAGGTGACCCCTGATGGCAGTGGCTCCATTCAGCAGGATAATGCACCCTGCCACATGGTTTGAGAAACATGATAATGCACCCTGCACCCTGCCACATGGTTTGAGGAACATGATAAAGAATGGAAGGTGCTGGCTTGACCTCCAAATTCCCTAGATCTCAATCCTATTGAGCTTCTGTGAGATGTGCTTGAACAAAAAAATCCAATCCATGGAGGCCCCACCTTACAACTTGCAGGACTTCAAGGATCTGCTGCTAATGTCTTAGTGCTACATACCACAGGACACATTCAGAGGTCTTGTGGAGTCCTCGATGCATTAAAGCTGTTTTGGCCGAATGAGGGGGGTCTACTCAATATTAGGCAGATGGTTTTAATGTTGTGGCTGATCAGCGTATGTCTCCTTTCTGATGATACATTATCTTCATTCAATTCCCTCCTGCTCCCTCTTGTCTCAACTCCCCCCTTTAACTATTAGATTGTAAGCTCACAGGCTATCTAGCTATGTACTTTGTATAAGACAGCTTTAATTGCTAGATCTTAGGGCATGGT